TGTGTGGTTGTTTTGTTTTGTTTTCAGACAGGGTCTTCCTCTGTTACCCAGGCTGGAGTGCAGTGGTGCACCCACTCACCGCATTGCAGCTTCCACCTCGAAATTACTCAATCTTTCAAACAAAAATTTATGAAAAGATGCAAAGGAGAAAACAAAGTATGGATCGCATACACCGTGGTCTAGAAGGCAGGAGAAATAAGCAGAATTGTTCCTGGAGAAAGGCAAGATGTGATGACTAACTAAAAACAGCTAGACAAAAAAAAAATGTTTTTTTTGTAGAAAGTGGGGACTTTGCTAAGTTGGCCCAGGCTGGTCTGCACTGCCTGGGCCTCAATTCGAGCCTCCGCAAAGTGCGGGATTATAGCACAAGCACCACGGACGTCCAGCGAGAGAATACTTAAGTTAGGTAGTTTAAAAGATATGATTCAAAGAGATAAAGCCATTCAGTTCTGTAGATGAGAGAACTAAAGCAAGTAATGAAAGCAACAAAATGATCTCAATGGATCAAAATAAAGGAATATCAATAAAGAGAATAGGAAAACCATAAAAACGAAGCCCAAATGAGAAATTCTAGGATTGAAAAAGAACAACCCACACAACCCTCTAACAAATAAAAGGAACGTAGAGTTGGAAAAATTTCCAGGGGTTTCTCGCAAAGATGGCAACAGTTACCAGACAGGCAGAAGAAAAGAATTGGGAACATTGAAATGAGTCAAACTTAAATAATAAAATATACTGACTCTGACGGAACAGAAACAAAAGAATGAAAGTGAGTGCTAATTCCAGACTGTTGTGGAACACAGCATCAGCTGAACTGACTATTACAGAACGATCCAGAAGAGAAGAAGACAAGAAAAGCAAGAAAAATTCTGGAAGAAATGAAGATGGTCGCTCGCTCGTTCCCCAACGTGTGACGACGAGCGCGGTGCCTTGTGTGTGGTCTGTGCGCGCGCGTGTGATAGTGTTTTGGTGGCGTGGTAGATCTCTGTGGGGCTGTTGCTGTGTGGTGGATACGTACGGGATATTGCGTGCGTAGGAAGAGGTCTCAAAGCAGCTGCAAGGCCTCTCAAAGTAGATTTGTCTTTTACTTTTCGGTTCCCTCACGCACGCGCTTAGGCGAGCCACCGACACGTACTGGTCCGCCATCAGGAGGCTATAGCTGTTGGTCTCGCAGGTCTCGGTGTCCCTTTGTGATGAGCTACGACACGAGGATCAAGC